GGGGGGGGGTAGCAGCACGTCCAGAATTTGGCTCCGCGAGCCCTGTTGCTATATCTCGAGGGGGCGTAATAGAGCGACAACAGTACAGTTGTAGCCTTCCTTTGACGTTGTGTGTCATGTACTGCGTACTTTCTAAACAGCGTGGGATTCGACTACACCCGTGTGGTAACGAATACTCCGAAATCGTCGCACGGGTGGGGGTTACTTTGTTTGGTGGGGGTGATAATCCATGGTGTCCTGCGTGTTGTTTGGTGGGGGCGATATAAACATGTGGCAACACGCAGGACACCACCGGCTATGATATCGTAACGTCACCCGTGTGCTAGACTGGCGTCCACACGAACCCTGCTGCAGGGTGTGTGCCGACGAGGGGGTTTCGGTAGCGTGTTGCGGGTGGTGTTGCCTGGGCCCCAAGAGCACATGCGGTAGCAGGCACAGGTGTGTGAGTCACAGCAGTATTGTGTAGGTTCTGCTGCGCAGGCCTGAGCTACGCGCGCTTTGGAGGGCACAGTAGAGGGAGCGGTGGGAGTCTCAGCAGTAGATTTTGTTGCGTGGGTTTTGGCGATACGTGTGAATCATGCACGGCGGCTGCTGAGGGTGGCGCGGCAGGGTTGAGGCCCATTCTGCTTCATCAGCTAAATCAACCTGGTAGTATAGGTTACATGATAAGCACAGAGCCCTTGAAGAGCAGCAAAACACGCTGAAGCTAGCACAAACCGATCACAAAGCCAGAAAAAAAGCATATTTCCGAGCATAAATCTCCTCAACAGGATATAACTGGCCAAGAGAGATAAGCAGAAAGGTGCATGCTTGCCGCAATAAAGGAGAGAAAAGAGATAAAAACAACAAAGTGCAGAATGGGGCTAAGCCTACGTAGTCTCAGCCAAGGAGGGGGTCAAGCTTGCCCTACGGCGAGTTATTGTCCTTATGCCGGAGGAAAGACGTGATGGAGCGTGGACCCGCCGCCGGCGCAGCTGCAGCCTGAGCCGCGATTGTCTCAAGCAGGGCTCGTAACTCCCTCCACCTCCGTGGTGTTTTTTCACGGTCTTCCATGGCTGAGTGAGGCATTCAAGTTGTGGAGTATGTGTGCGTGTGCTCGTGGCCATGTGACAAGGGGGCTCCGTCTACATTGCGCGGAATTAGAAAAATTGCCCACACGTGTGTGTGGTATCTACCGCCGTTCTTTAATTTTGTACGGGCTTACGGTTTCTTGAGAAAATCACACTTACGCCACCCAAGGGCAATGAGTAGTTGGGCTTCTTCACCAATGTACCTTGCTTTGCTTTCTCTCCCTGCGTGCCTATAGGTCTAGCTACGGCTGCTTGCCTCGCCCGTATCGGACTGAGGGTGACCGTAGCAGCGGGCAAGGGGGGTGCGGGGGGCGGCAGGGACATTACAACGACGGGAGACAAGACCAAGGCCGCAGCCGAAAGCATGGATCGGAGTTCCAGTGCAACAGGCGGGAGCATCGACCCCGGAGTGGGAATATGGACGCACGGTCTGGCCTGTCTCGAGAGCCTCGGCGTTCTCCGGCAATTGGAGTCGGAAGGAAGGTGGGAAGGTGTGTGTCAGTACACAAGAAGGTTGTCAGGAGAGATAGGAACGAAAATGTAAGAATTTCTGGAGGTACGCGTTGATGAACGAAAGAGCTCGACGGAATTGTGTATATACATGTCGATAAATTCTGCGTGGAGTTTGGAGCTGCTCGCACTCCACGTGGGGGGCTGGCTTTATCACAGGTGTAAACACTCGACGCATATCTGTTTCCCTAGACTCCATCGCGTACTGCCACCTAGACTCCTACCGCTACCGCTGCTTTGCATGCTACAACAACCTCGTCGACGACCATGACGGCCACTTCTTCTGTTTTCGGCTACTACTGCTGTGCCCGGTGTTCTTGTGTGCGTGCGTGCGTGTGTGTGTTTGTTTCATTATTGGCATCGACCGCGCTCACCGGCTGACCAACGAAGAGACGTCAGTCCAAGCGCGGTTGAGAACACAAAACGTCTGGGAGACCATGAGCGGGCGTCATGGGGGAGGCTATCGTACTCTCCGGATTAAAGATGGATACGGTAGCATTAGTAACAGCGTGTGTCTTCTTTTTGTTGCTGTAAAACATCAAACCCATCTCTATCCACACGTAAGAGTCCAGGACAATGAATCCACCGCGTTTTTTTGCCTCTACGGCCACCGCCCGCCAGGTACATGGGCGAAGCCGGGTATAGGGACACCACCGGAAATTGGCTGGCAATCCCTACCCGACCCCTCCAAGAGTGGGGCGCGGCACCAATGCGGCGAGGGGAGCATTGTTCGGACGAGTCCGGCGGCAAGGGCGAAGACGGTAGGCTAGGCGGCGAAGGGGGGGGAGGAGGCGCGAGTGTACTCTTCGTTCGGGAGTCCAAGCTCATGGAGGTGCGTTGCCTTGTGTTGGTTGTGGGGAGGGGTTCGGCGTTATGCTTGAGCGCAGGTAGAAGGTGTCGGCGTTGTTGCCCGGTGGTGGAGAGGGTAGCCAAGTGGATGGAGGTTGACGGTTTCACTTTTATTTTTTCTTCTTTCGTCCCGTCTTTTTCCGGGCATCAGTTTACTACTCGTTTCGTTTCGTGTTCGACAAAATGGAACATCGAAAAGCGACAAAGAGGTGGTGATATCACAATATCCAAAGCAACGGGGGTGTGGTTGAGAGTTGTTTATTTTTTTGCGCCCCAGTGGAAGCCGCGCTGTCAGGATGAGCTTTGTTGTCCAGTTCGTCCACAACTCCCACAGGAGTAAAAACTCCCTCCCGTGGTCTAACCGCTAAGGCAGGCAAAACATGAGTATGCCCCCCCCACCCCCGCTCGGATGGTTGCTCGATTCGAAACAGGCCTTGCGCTCCGCGCTCCCAGCAGATACCAAATTCGTCGAAGGCGACGTGGAAGACATAAAATGGGGATGTGGTGCGAGCAACGATGATGCTGGTGTGGCGGGGAAGAACCGGGGTACCGTATCCGGCCGCTTCTGCGCCGCCGGCGCCGGTGACGGGGGGTGGGAGACGGACTTCGACCTCCTTGTGGGAGCGGACGGGCCGCAATCCTTCGTGCGCGACAGGGTTGTTTCGGCGGCAGAAGCGGGAGCAACAGACGGCCGTCGAGGGGATGCCGGTCGTCGTGTTGCGTCGACAGGGGCGGCGGGGGGTAGCGAGGCGGCGGCGGCGGTGGGTCCGCGCCGCCGAGGCTACACGGTGTACCGCGGGGTTTGCAGCAGCAGCAGCAGCAGCAGCAGCAGGCCTTCGCCTGAGGGGGCACCGTGGATCGATGAGGAGGGGGGGTGGGGTCTCCCTTCCTTTCAGACGTGGGGCCCGGGCCTTCGGTTCGCTTCTGTCCCTCTTGCCGGGGATGAGCGGGTGCGTGGTTTCAGAGACGTCTTCCGGAGAAAAACGAAGCAAGGTTGGCGTTGGTCGGCAGACGTTGACTTCGTTGGTGCGACTGCAGCCACGTGGGGAGAGAGACCGCCTCCGCGAAGGGTTTCATTATTAATCTATGACATATAGAGGGAGGTTTCGTGTTTCGTACCCCTAACCCCACCCCGCACCCCCTACTAAAACCAATTTTTTTGAACCAATTTTTTTTTAACATGCTCGTGAAGGTTACCGGGGCAAAGGGAGGGTAGACTGAGACAAATCTACACATGAGAATCTGTCGAGGAGGGTTCGTTGCGCCTGTAGAAGGATCGAAGGCTCAGTGTCACCCGGGGGCTCTCTCGGCTTTTGTTTTTTGCAGTTAGATCCGTTGCTTGTTCTCCCGGGCGGTGGGCTCTCGGTTGGCTTTGCGATCGCCCCTCTTCGCCCGCGCAATCAATTCTTACGGTTAGGTGTTTTCTTAACCAGCAGCTATGCGCGCTGACCCTCCCTTAAACCCTCCCCTTGCTCTCGTTTCCTTCCGTGTGAAGATGTGGTTCGCAACCGTGGAGGACGGGCTCGTCGGCGCCGATGGGGGCCCCGCGGACAAGGATCAGCACCCCCCTTCCTGCGGCGGCGAAGGCGAAGGCGAAGGCGAAAGAAAACGTAAGAACAAGAGTTTCTTGCTGGAGACGTTTGGGGGCTGGCACGCGCCGGTGGGCAGCCTTCTCCGCGCCACGGCGGAACGCTCCATCACGCGGGAGGACGCCAGGGCCATGAGTCGGCGGGGGCTCCGTGATATCACTGCCGCCGCCGGTGCCGCCCGACGGCGATCTCGAGGAGGAGGAGGAGGAGGAGGCGTTGTGCTTGTCGGGGATTCGGCGCATACGGTGCGCGTTTCTCATGTCCACCCGGTCGCGGAGGCGGTGTCGTTATCGTGCTTGCCGCGTAGACCGCGATATGGGTCAGTAGCCTTAGCGAGGATATTTGCTGGGTTGTACGTAGAAGGGGGTACGGGTTAGGGATAGGGATACGAAACCTCCCTCTCTGGTTCATGGATTTAGAGCAATATTCTCGCGAAGGCGGTCTCTATGTATACACCTCAACCGTACCGTGTAGGAGCTGTTTCAAGCGCTCTCTGCCGTTGCTGATGCCGACGGCTGCTGCATGATTTTTGTGCAATGGTCGTGTGTATCATGTCTTGATCGCCCATGGTCGGCCCCTCTCACATGTGCTCTGTGCACACATAAACATCATGGCATGCAACGTCTTGCCTTCCCGCAAGGCGGTCCAAACTGCTGCTGGTGAATCCTGATAAACCCGCCGCTGCTTCTGTGACTGTGCTCGCAGCTCGATCCCGTTCTTGCCCAGGGTGCCGGGGTGGCTCTCGAGGACGCTTTCTTTCTCGCGCAGCACCTGAAAGACTTCAACGGCAGGCAGAACAAGAAGTCGGCCGCTGTGACAGCGGGAGAGGCAGGGGACAGGCTCGAAGAAGCACTCTCGCGGTACGACGAGGAACGCTTGCAGAGGTGAGAGAGAGGCTGGATCGGATTACAGCAGTGGGCAGTGGTTCTGTAGGCCCGATGCAGGGACCTTTTTGTGTCAGGGCAGCGGGTCACGATTATTGACGGTAGTCGGGGTGCACCAATGCTGCCACACGATTTTGTGGCCGCTCCGCAGGGCATCGCCTATTCAGGGCAGGGCACAATTGTTGGCGGTATAGCGGCTACTAGTCAGTGTGCGGCAGTATTGCCACGCGTTTTTGTGGTCGCTGTACAGGGCATGTCGCTATAGCGGGGGTCGCTAATGCCGGGGCCCATGACTGGTAAGGCACCTTGCCTTCGAGAGGCAGAGGGCTAGACATCAGTATCACCGTGCACGGCGCCTAGAATAGTATCACTCCTGCCCATGCTACGAATTCGGACGGCAGTGGCAGTATACCTCCAAAACAAAAGAGGCGTCCACGACCGCCTTGCCGCCGGCGCTAACACCAAAAATGCGGGGGGGTTCCAAAGTCTATCGTTCGGCCTGCGATGATGAGCCTCGACATGTGGGGATCGGGATATGGTATATCGTCGACGTTGGAGAGGTCGTGCCCTTACTAACGGGATCTCCACTGACATGCATCTTTACCCAAGAGTCCCAACCCCCTCCTGGTACGGCTGCCCCACACAACCAACCCCAGCATTGTTACGGTTTTTCTTCCTACCCCTTCTCCTTCGCCCAAGGCACTCACACAATTCATGATGTGGACATAAATGTGTATTAACACAGACCACCTCGGGGAAAACCAAATGTAAGGGACGCCTTGGAGTTGTTTGACGCATGCCGCATCTGATAAACTCCGAACGCCGAGGCAGCTGAACCCGTGCTGAAAAAACAAAATCAAAATGACCTTCCTTCCAAGATGTGCGCGTGCGCGTGTGTGTTTGTGCGAAATATATATATTTCACTCTGGCACGCAGTTTTTAGGATATACAACCGCAGAGAGACTACCCGTTCGAGATATAACCACCGCAGTCGGGGGTGGGTTAGAAAATGTACACACAATGAAAGAAAGACTACTCGTTCGAGATAGTCCAAGGGGATGGGTTAGAAGATATACATGCAATGAAGGAGGGAACGCTCGTTCGAGATGCACCCACAGCCGAAGGGGATGGGCTAGAAGTATACATACATAAAAGAGAAAAGACTACTGGTTCGACATAACCACCGTCGAAGGGGGTGGGTTAGAAATACACATACATAAAAGAAAAGAAAATACTACATTAAATAGAATAAAAGACTACTGGATGGACACAACCACAGTCGAAGGGGATGGGTTAGAAGTATACATACATCAACATCAAAGAATTAAATAAAATTAAAGACTACTGGATGGACATAACCACAGTCGAAGGGGACGGACTAGAAATATACATACATGAACATCAAAGAAAATACTACTGGATGGACACAACCACAGTCGAAGGGGATGGGTTAGAAATTATAGATACGATGATAGACTGCTCGTTCAACATATAACCACAGTCGAAGGTGATGGGTTAGAAAATAAACGTACAATGAAAGAAAGACTACTCGTTCGAGATATTACCACAGTCGAAGGGGACGGATTCAAGTCTCCACTGGCATTGGTCAACGGTCAATACTGACGTTTGTGTTATTTTTCGTACGTACGCAGGGCTCTTCTGCTGTCCGTCCTCTCGGATGTGTCTCAGGCCTTGGGGCAGCTTCGACGGCCGGAGTGGCTCGTTCGGGCGCGAGACTCTACCCTCGCTCGATACATCCCGGCGGCGCTGAGCTCAAGAATTTTCGACGGGCTTATGGCGGCGTCTTTGGCGGGGGGGCTGGCGGGGGGTGCGCGGGCGGCGACGGCGGCTGCTGTTGGTTTCGGCGAGAAGCGGCGGTTTGGTGGCTATAGGGTGCCGAAGCTGTGGTAGGTTCCCGCTTCTTAACGTTTTACGCGGTGGAACGATTCTGGCAGCTTCAAGCATCTTCTATTCGCCTTAACGCGGAGTTGATTGACAGGTTCCCGCTTCCCCAGTCTTTGCGTTTTCCGGTGGAACCGTTCTGGCAGCTTTGAGAATCTTCGATACGCTTTGACGCCGAATTGATGTTGGCGTACTTTGTGAGTCCAGCAGCCTCGTGCACGAAGCGTAAGGTTAAAAGGGGTTGGACTCTTCGACGTAGTACGGTATTTAGAATACATCTAGTATTTTTTTTTCGCGCTCCATCGAAAGTGTGACGAGCTTTGCCGCGTTGCGCTTGTCGCAGAATGAAGTAAGGTAACAGTTAATCGTTGCACCGTCGAGGAATGTTTCCCTGGCAAAGAGGCAAGGCCGCACGTCAAGTAGAGACTGCGAGCGGTGGCCAGCTACCGGACGGCGAAGAGAGACTAATAATAGTGTCACCATCATCGCTGAGTCGATTCTTGGCACATCTCAAGGTAGTGACGATAGAAGAGAAGGAAACCTCGTGTTACAACTGTTTTCCGGGGTGCTGTGAAAAGAAGGGATCGTCCGTTGGAACGATTGTACCCTTCACGAACAGGATCTCCATAAAGCAGCCCCCCCCTAGAGTCTTCTTGGTTGCTAGGCAAGAAGGCTTCGAAGGGTAACGGGTGACTTAGGGATGTCATTTGAAGAAACTGGAGGTTGTCAGTTGTTGGTTTGGTTGCACCCAACCGTTCGGAGACATGGGTCGCCAGACACGAGGGCGGGTACCGAGAGTCACTTCTAGTTTCTCGCAAACGTCCAAGACGGATGTGGACTGACTGTGGAACCCTCGTCCAAATCGAGGTTTGTTTTATGAGGAGCCAGCCCTCTTGTTGGTCTCCTAACCTCAATAGATGTAAGATCGCAGGTTACACAAACGCGCATTTATTGAGGACTGACCTCAATGAGGAAGTCATGTCATCGTCGAGGCCACGCCGCATTTCTCTCTCTTACACGTTACAAGCGAACGGACCATAGACGACCTTGAAACTGCCGCATGGCTATGTGTCCTACTTTATTCCACAGCACTATCCAAAGCAACGTACTAGACAAAGTAGATCTCTACGGTAGCTTGAACAACAAAAACTCGATACTGACATGCCACTACCCTCTTGCCGCTGTGAATGATAGCAGCCTCTAATATGACAACGCCGTCACAACGTTTTCCTGGAACATCAAAGACACGAGAAACTTCACAATTGAACCGACCAGACGATACAGGTCGATACTATACTCCGACTGCAACCTAGCGCGAACGCTTTGGTCCAGACCCATCTTACACACATGAAATAAAACTAGCAAAAAACAGCAGAGGGATATGGATTGTTCCAGCGAAGTCGGGTGACAAACACATTCATGTTGCCTCATGCTTCTCACTACTTAGCCGGCCTAATCCCTACCGGAATTTCTACAACAAACAATACCAGGTACTTCACAAGGACCGCATCCATCAATCAAACTACAAGGACGCCTTATCCGCGGGGGGCAAGAACTAGCACTACGGGCATGCACATCACCACTATTATAGGTAAATACGAACACACTGAACCCAGCAATCAACAACATACGAGGACACCGCCTCCGCGCGGCCGTTTGACACACATGCACTACCATGAGCACCTACACCACCATCGCGTTAAACACGAACACGCGCAAACTTTGAATCCAGCACCAATCCAAGAAGTGCCTCCGTGTTGCCGTTTGACACTGGCAGGTATGCAACACCAGCACGGGCATGGACACCACCATGTCGTCTGAGACAGAACACACTGAACCCAGCAATAAAACTTACCAGGACACCGCCTCGGTGCCTTACGATATGAATCACGATGGTCATCGACGCTACTGCTGTGGCCTTCAAGACGAACACACACACCGAATCCTGCAAACCAGGTACCAGGGTACCTCCGTTTGACACGGGCGTGTAAAACCACCATGGACATGGGACATGGACAACACCACCATGGGGGCAAAGACGAACACATGACGACTAAACACCTATGACAAGAACCGTCAGCCCCCAAGTCTCCTTGACGCATACTCCTATACATCGCTACGTCTTTGCCACACGAACAAAGGAGGAGGATGGAGGAGGGGTCGGAAGAGACCTCCTCCCTTCCCCTCCCCCCCGCCTCCATAGGATAGGGAGAACACTCTTAGCAGCAACCCTTGGCGAAGTAGGAAGGAACGATTGGCCATCGGTGATTCGGTCCTGTGGGAACAATGCTCCGTCCTCTCGAGGACGTGTGGTCAATGGTCTAACCGCCGCTAAGGCATGCAAAGCAGCGTACGCCCCCCCCCCCCCCCCA